TTCTCCCTTACTGCCTTTAAGATTCTGTTTGTCTTTAAAATTTGCCATTTTAATTGTAATGTGTCTGGGGGTAGGCCTCTTTGGGTTCATCTTGATTGGGATTCTCTATTCTTCCTGAACTTTGGTGGCTTTTTCCCTCATCAAGTTAGGGTAGTTTTCTGTGACCATTTTTCCAACAGTTTTTCTATCCCTTGCTCCTTTTCTTCTCATTCTGATATTTCTACGACATGAATGTTGTTACATTTCATATTGTCCTGAAACTCCCTAAAACTATCCTTGTTCTTTTTGACTCTTTTTTTGGTTTGTTGCTCTGACTGGGTATTTCTTTCTATCTTGTTTTCCAGGTTGCTCATTTGGTCCTCTGCTCCATCTAGCCTGCTTTTAATTCCTTCCAGTGTATTTTTCATTTCAGATATTATATTCTTCATTTCTTCCTGGTTCTTATTCATAGTTTGTATATACTTTTGCATGCTGCTGAAGTTCCCACTAGTTCCTTGTAGCTCCCATAAAGTTCCATGAGGTTCTCACTGAGTTCGTTGAGCATCCTTATAACCATTATTTTTTTTAAAGATTTTATTTATTTATTTTTAGGGAGGGAAGGAGCAGGGGGGAGAGAGAGAGAGAGAGAGAGAGAGAGAGAGAGAGAAAGAAACATCCATGTGCGGTTGCTGGGGGTTATGGCCTGCAACCCAGGAATGTACCCTAGCTGGGAATCGAACCTGGGACACTTTGGTTCGCAGCCTGCGCTCAATCCACTGAGCTACGCCAGCCAGGGCTTTATAACCAGATAGAATTATTTTTAATTCTATATCCAATAGCTTGCCTGTTTCATTTAGCTCTTTTTCTGGGGATTCCTCCTTTTCTTTTGATGTGGGGTTATTTCTTTTTCTCTCCATTTTAGGTGACACTTTTTGTTTGTTTCTGCATCTCGAGTTGCTCTGCTTTCCCTACCTGTCTCCGTGAGTTGGACTTCTGTGAGGCTCAGTGGTGCAGACTCTTTGATCTCCTGATCTGGATACTCTTAGGTTTGCCCTTTACTCAGTTTATGTGGGCTCTCTTGTGTTGTACTTGGGCTTTGATTATTGGTGGCTCATTCGTTGGTGGGTTCTCCCCTGAAGCTGGCTTGCTGGGAGTCTCAACCCCTGCCACATCTTGTATGCTGTTGTACAGGTGCTAGTGAAAAAGCAATACTATGCAGAAAACACAACCCACACCAGCAAAAACACTCTTCTAGTACATCAGCAATATCAACAGCAATTGAGCAAAAATGAATAAAGATGGAGAGAAATTAAGAATATTATAAGATGGAAGCCCTGGCTGGTGTAGCTCAGTGGATTGAGCGCAGGCTGTGAACCAAAGCATCGCAGGTTCGATTCCCAGTCAGGGCACATGCCTGGGTTGCAGGCCACAACTCCCAGCAACCACACATTGATGTTTCTCTCTCTCTCCCTCCCTCTCCCCCATCCCTCTCTAAAAATAAATGAATAAAATCTTTAAAAAGAAAAAGAAAAAAGAAAATGGGGACACCTGTAATAGTATAAATAGTAAAAATAAAGTAAAACAATAAATGAAATAAAATGGCATATTTAAAAAAGAATATTATAAGATGGGGAAAAAGAATATGAGGTGACTAAAGGAGAGAAAACTGATTGTGAGAGGGAAGAGGGAGAATTAATAAGAGTAGGGAATAAAAACCAAGGTGAAGAAAGGGAGAAAATAAAGTCTTAAATGTAAGTAAAACAGGGAAGGGCAATGGCAAAATGGAGTAAGAAAAGGGGATAGTATAATATGTGGTTTGAAATAAAATAAAAAAGGTAGGGAACCAAAGGGAACAAAACTGCAGAAAGACCACAGCAGGATCAATAACGACAGCTGAGCAAGGACTGATAAAGGTGGAAAGAGAATAAGAATAGCATGTGAAAGAGAACATGAGATGTCTGCAGTAAAGAACAATGATTGTGAGAGGATAGGAGGTGGTGAAATAATAAGAGTAAGGAATAGAATCCAGGCTAAGAAAGGGGGAAAAAACTCCAAACTGAAATAAGCAACAGTAGGAAGAAGGCAAAATGAAGTAAGACAGGGGAGAGTAGCCTATGAGATTTGAAATTAAAAAAAAAAAAAGCAAATAGGAATACAGGTGAAGAAGAACAGCAATAACCATAATATCCATGCCAAATAAGGCACAATTTATAAAGGTGGAAAGAAAATAAGAATATTATAAGAAGGAGAAAAAGAATGTGAGCAGATTAAAGGAAGGAAGTATGCTTTTGAGAGGATGGGGGAGGAGAAACAGTAAGATTAAGGAACAGGAACAAGGTGTAGTATGGGAGAAAAGAAAATTTACAACAAAAATAAGGAAGGGCAGGAAGAAGGCAAAATGGAATAAGGGTATAATGTGACATTTGAAATAATAAAATTAAAAATAATATAAATCTAAATAAAAAGAATAAAAACTAAAAGACAAAGAATAGTGAATTAGTTGCAATACAATTGAAGCAAAAGAGAAATATTAAAAGCCTATGTGAACAGAACAAAAATAAAAAACACAAATTCTGAAGTAAAATGAGGTGGAATTCATCTCAGCAGTTTGGCGTTTGCCTTCTGTCCTTTTTCTGGATCCACCTCTGGCTTTTTATCAGCTCCAAGTCCTGGGATGGTCGTCCAACTTCTGGCATCACCACCTGTATCACCTTCACCTGTCTCTAGGGGTTTCTGTTGAGATTGGGAGGGTGGGGCCCTGGGTCTCCCCTGGGAGGCACTGTTCAGTCCTCTAGGAAAATTGTAGGTTTATTCCCCCTGCCCCTGCACTACCTGTCTTGGTCTCTCCCAGCTTATTTCCATAATGTATAGTTTCTGATGAATTAGCTGTTTCAAGGGAGGGACCAATCTGTGTAAAAGGGTAGTTCTTTCCTGCTTGGTGCTGATGGCAGCTCTCTGTGCAAGCTGATACTGGGCAAGGCCCTGATTCCTCCTTGCTGCACCGATTTCTGATCTCCATGCTTTGATGGCCTCAGTGGAATAGGGCCCTGGGAACCCGTGTATTTCGTCTCCCTTACAGGAGTTCAAAATGGTCCCTTTAACACATTTCACTTTCTGTCTTTCTCTTGTGGATATGCACCCTGAAGGCAGTTGTTGAGCCTGTCCTGCATGTTTTGCAGATCTTCCCTGTTGGTGGTGCTTTCTATCCTGCAGGAGGTGGGGGCTGGGTGCTTCTTTCCCTTCCCAGAGAGTCATTCTCAGCTGGGGAAGGGAGCTCTATGTGGCTTTAAATAATCTAAGGTGCTCAACTCCTTCCTCTCCAGTTCCCAGCCCACTGCCCTTGCAGCAGACATAGTCCTGAACTCTCCACTCTGCACAGCCTCTGCCTTGCCAGCTGTGCTGGGCTGCGCCCAAGAAATCCCCTCACCATGCACCTTTCTGATCTCTCTGTCCAGCTGCACTCAGTGGGGCAAATCATGCCCTCAGTCCTCTCCCCTTGCTGTCAGGGCAGCTGTGCTTGGGGTCCCTGCCCAGCACGCCTCAGCACCCCTTTTAAAAAGTCTCTCCTGACACTCCCACAGTAGCACTGAGTTACTGTCCAGCTTTCCATACATCACACCACCTCTCCAAAAAGCCAAGAGTCTCTCACAGTCATGGCTGGCTGCTGCCTGACTCCTCTACCCGATGCAGGTGCAGGTAGAATCCCTCTCTCTCCCTCTGGCACTCTCCTGGTTGTCATTTGCCACTGCAGCTGTGGATATGATGCTTGCCGTGTGTGGGGTGGGGGGAGGTAGCCTGGACCTCCTTGACTTTGTGTAAAGTCACTTCTGGCCTAGGTCTGGGGGTTCTCTGCCCTGGGAGGGAAGGGAACTGCAAAGGTGCAATCTTTGACCAGGCTGTCTGTGCCACACACAGGGTATTTCCTGTTCAACCTATAGAGTCTCCTTACCACCTGTTGTGAAGCGTCTTCTGTACTCCTTGGCTTCCCAACTTCATATCAGCTAAGATTCTGCTGAATGTTCAGTTTATTTTTTGGAAGATCAGCCAGGTATCCAAGTTGCAGGACAAGAGCAAGTGGACTCAGCTTCCACCTACTTGGTTGCCATCTCTTCCTGCAGGTGATACTTATTGCACACGAATTTCCAAGTTTATTTTTTCTCTTGAGTAAATTTTGTGAGAGGCCTTGGCTGTGTTCCCTTGTTTGTATTAAAATAATCAGTGGTAACCTTGGCTGGTGTGGCTCAGTAGATTGAATGCTGGCCTCTGAACCCAAGGGTTGCCAGTTCGATTCCCAGTCAGGACACATGACTGGGTTGTGGGCTGGGTCCTCAGTTGGGAGTGTGCAAGAGGCAACCACACGTTAATGTTTCTCTCCCTCTCTTTCTCCCTCCCTTCCCCTCACTCTAAAAATAAATAAAATCTTTTTTAAAAATTATCAATGACAATAAATCCCTCCCCCCACTTTTTTTTTCAGAGCTGTTAGTAACTGGTGTCTTGTCCCATGAAGGTGCAAAGGGTGGGTAAGCCACTTACTACTTTCCCCTCTGGAAGCCTGTGTACTCATCATGAGGCACTCTGGCTCCCCTAGTGAACAGAAGTGTATCCTTTCCCAGCTCCTGGACCAGCATCCTTGGAATTAGAAAGAACCTTTGATAGCCTAAACTAATCGATTTTTATCAGGAATTGAAGGCCGTAGAGGGGATGTGACTTGGCCCTGTCTCACAGTATGCTAGTGACAGAGTCATCTGGGATAGTGGGATGAGTACTGAACTCAGAGCCAGCCAAAGGCTTGGATTGATGTCAGGCAAGTTTTGTCACCTCTCTTCTTTCCAGCATCTTCATCTGTATAATAGGAAACGTATCTAGCATAGGGCCATGTACAAACAAATGGCTTTTTGTTTCATCCTCCAACTATAACATTTGCTTCTCTATGAGTGTAAACTGAAGATTATAGGGAGGAAGCTGATGTTAGGGAGAATGAGCAATTAATAATCAATGCTGTTTTCTCTGTTTTTCTGTAGGATCCTTGGTCTTCCACAATGAACCCTGTTTATAGCCCCATGCAGCCTGGGGCTCCTTATGGCAACCCTAAAAACATGGCTTACACAGGTGAGTTGTCTGAGAATGGCTCTGATTTTGAGAAAGGGTGGTTAAGGTCATTACCAAATAAGTTGCTGGATGACTTTTGATAAACTATGCCTCTAAAAGCTGTGGTAAAGTGTGCAGACTTGTAGAAGGGGGACATGTCTGGGATCCACTGGAGATGGAACTGACATTTATTGAGGGTAAGGATTATTGAATAGTCAACTAGGGGAAAGGAAGGGAGGTGACGTTTGTTTATGGAGTGCTTGCCATGGGCCTGGCCCTGTGCTGGGTACTTGAATCTTAAAGCCTTCTACGAGGTACCACTGAGCATTACCATGTCACAGATGAGAAAGTCAGAGTCACAGTAAGAGCCACAGTACAAAACAAAAATAGATGTTTGAACCCCGGTCTGCTGATTGTGAAGGCTGATTTTTTTTTTTTTCCTGAACTGTGTACCAAACTGTTTCCTACTTCTCTGCCTTTGTGCAAGTTGTCCCTCTGTCTGGAATGTCATCATCCCCTGAGAGCTTCACCTTATTCTTCAAGAATTCAGCTCCGAACTCAGACAGCACTTTTCCAGGAAGCGATCTCTCCCTCACTTGTCCTTAGGCAAGTTTCTTTAACTTTCCAGAGTCTCAGTGTTCTCACTATAAAATAAGAGCAATAAGAGCCCTATTCCATAGGGCCGTTATAAGGATTAAATGAGCTAGTGGAAGACACTCAGCATTTAATATCTGATATAAAGTAAGTGCTTAATAATGGTTCTTACTATTTACAAGTGAACAAAATGGGTAGGGTGTGGGTAGTGGAAGTGAATGAGAAAATGGATGTAAGTTGCTAGCTTGGTGCTCAGCATGACATGAGCCTTCAAAAAGACAACAGGTTTAAAGGTAAAGGTAACGGTGTGAACAAACGTGGTGGTAAGGAGGTATGGTCAGGGCACAGTAGTACCTGAGATTAGTTGGAATAAAGATGAGAAGAGGGAAAAAGTGGGAAATGAAGCTCAAAAAGTAGGTTAATTATGGTCTTGGTGGCAGAGATCTCAGGGAACTCCTGAGTTGTTCCAAACTGTGTTCCGTAGGAGCACTAGAGGGTGCTTCTCAAATTCCTGAAATATATTATTTGATTTAAAAAAAAATTTAGAACTATTTTTATAAAGCACACCTATATGTAAGATGATCAGTGTGTTAACTTAAGCTTATATGAATACATATTAATTTTTAAAACTGCTAACTTTTGCAGCTACTTATTTGTAAATTAGGATTTTCTCAATGCTCCTAAATAACATTCGGAAATATATTGGAGGTTGAGCCTGATATGACTATAGCTGTCATCACTAACTTTCAATTTCTTTCTTTTTAAATCTCATCTTTACTGTATTTTTTCCATTATCATTTGGTCCGCTTATACAGCCCTCCCCCGACAATCACTACACTGTTGTCCATGTCCATGAGTCCTTTTCTTTTTTGCTCAGTCCCTCCACTCCTTAATCTCCCCCGAACTGTCATCCTGCTCTCCGTATATTTGTGTTTATTACAACAGCTTTATTATCCCAATTTTGCCTTAATGGTAAATATTTTTACTTTAAACTTCTGTATGTGTATTCTAATAAAATTAAGTCCAGCAACCAGGACCCATTGGGCAGAACCCTATGCCTTTCCAGCTCAGAGAGAGCCTGTTGCCGTTTTCCTTCCCAGGTCAGAGTATTCCGGCAACCTCAGTCCCTTTGCCAGAGAGGGCTGAGATGCTTTGGCAGACAGTGCACAGGGTAATCCTGTGGGTTTCCTGTGATCCTGACTGCCTTCATTCGTACTGAATTGCTAAACTTGAGAAGAAAGTAGGTACATTTATCTATTAGTTTGCACAAAGAAGATTAGGCAGTGTGGTATATTTGAAAGGAAACAGGCCTTGTCTCTGCCTGCATGGCACATAGTATAACTTGGTAAATGGTTTCAATTGAATGAACAGCAACCAGGTTCAAATCCCAGGTCTGTCAGATAATAGTTAAGTGACTTTGAACAAGTTGTTAAACCTCCCTAAATTTATTATCTATTTCATAGAATAGTGGTGAGAATTAAACAAGATAATTAGTACTTCTGTGGAGGGAGAGAGAAGGATTGCTTTTGTTTATACTGATCATCAAGGAATATTATCAGCCTGGAACTACATTTTAAGTTAATTTCTCTGCTGGAGATTCTAGGACCACACAGGTAGTATAAACTCCATACAACTGGAATAAATTCAATCTTCACACAGGCCAAGGTCCAAATTCTTAAAGAAACTTGTCTTTTTTAATCTAAACTTCCTATTATCTCTTTGTACTTTCAAGTCAGTTAAATTTTTTTTAACTGACAATATGATTTCCCCTAAGGTCCCAGCTTTATACAGGGGAATTTGAGCTCCAGCTCGTGGCTTCTCTCCACGGCCCAAAGCATCATCTCCCAGCCCTGGGACTTAAAAAGCAAGCCCTTTGATTGCCCAGGCCAAAGAACCTTCCCAGAGCAGTCCACCGTCAGCTCACGATGAGAGCTCCTGAGTTTCAGGTTCCTCTACATTTTTGACCCCCGGAGATTTCTTTTTCTTTCTTAAAATCTCAACTCTGTCTATGTTTTGTTATATAACGTAAAGTATTTGTTAAACGTCATCAAGTTTTTTTCTAGGTGTTATGTGGGAGGTAGATTTTCAGGTTATCTTTTCCTTCACATTGCTGGATGTAGAAGATCCAAGTGGGATAATTCGCAAACAAATGCCAGATACATTAAATGGTTAGTACAGTAATGGTTATATTAAAAAGTACTAATTACCATTTGAAAAGCACATGCTATATACTTGATAAATACACACGTATACACATATATACTAATTTTGTATATAAAAATCTTGCCCATCTCTCTTGCCTTCACTTTCCCGTTCAGGCCATGCATTGTTTAACAGTTTCCTTTCCAGCCCTTAACAACATTCTGGACATTAATTTGTAAGTTTTTGTCAGGTCTCTTTTGTTATAAAACAACTAGATACCTCATTCCCTTAATCTATTTCTTTTTCGTGTTCTTGAAAACAATTTTCCATCCACCTTCCTAGAATCCCTGGTATTAATGAAGGGTTCAGAAACAGGGAAGTGAGGTAAGCTAAAGACCCTCTCCTGCTGTGGCAGCGCCTTCTGTCAGCCCCAGGCCTCTTGCCCCAGAGCTCCTGATGTTCTTGAGCAAGGTCAGTAGGAAACATCAAAGCCTTTCCACGAGTATCCTAAGGAAAGGCAAGTGTACCCATAGCCATCACCAGTGAGTGAGTTCCTTTTGCTTGCTAAATATGCTCGTACAGTTTAATTTAGTTTTCTATTAGTTACTTATGAGTCTTAGTCAATGGAGATATAATTTAGTGGCCCTGAAAGCTGGTGGCCTCTTGATAAAGCATTAGAAGACCTTTTGGCTATGCTGCATGGATTCTCACTGGAATTACTTCTGTTGCTTAATGTGCTGGGCAGAACCCCCTCCCTGCCTTGATGTCAGAAGACCTGAGTTTGAGTCCTGACTGTGCCTCTAATTAAAAGCTTGAACAAGTCACTTTACTTTCGAAGGCCTCGGTTTTCTCCTCTGTAAAGTGAGAAAAATAACACCTACCCTATGTACCACTTGCTTATGAGACTTTAAGGAGATAATTGATCTCTAAGAGCTTTTAAAATGAGACAGAGCTGATCAGGACAGAGCTGGGTCTGCGACTGAACTATTCCTATCTTGAAGGTTAACTGCTGGGTCAGGCCAAGGCCCAGTGGAAGCCAGGAGGGTGATGAGATTAGCACCTTTACTAGTGCTGAAACTTCCTTTTTTGTGTGCTTGAAGACAGCTCCCTGGCATTTGCTTCCTGGAGTTCCACTTCCTAAGTTAATCATAGGATTTCGGGGCAGGAATTGAAGGAGTCCAGAGCTTGGGAAAAAAGGATGCCTGAGTAAAGAGGATACTGTCCTATAGCTAAGACAATATAGAGTAAATTTGTTTTTCCTGTGGGTGGATTATTAATAACAGCTATCTATTTTTAACGATTACGGTTGCTATTGGTTGAACATGAGTTGTCAGCCATGCACAGTGTTTTGGAAACTTTCCTACTCAAGTAAATCTGACATCAGAGGAGAAGAAGTTCACTCCTGGATTGCTGGGGGAATAGCCCAGAGCAGGTACTCCAGGGTTAAAATTTATTTGAAATTTGTGGATTATCTTCAAAATTCTATTAATAGCATCCCAAGAAAGTGCACCATATTTAACTCAGTGTTTTCATATATCTGTATTGTTTAGTATTCTTAGAGGTTCCTGTTCCTAGTTTGACAACTATGTCATCATTATTTTATTTAATCCTTATTATTTAAGTGTTAATATACATAGACACAAATCAAGGAAAATGGAAAAACTTGTCCCTGGCACAGAGCCAGAAAGTGGTGGCTCCAGAATCAATCCTAAATTTGGATGTTCTGTGTTCTTACCACTGAGCTACATGTAGTACTAGACTATGTGTAGTCTTTGCTGCCTTGTAATTGTTTATATTTCTGTAACACTCATTGCTCTTGCAGTCACTCACCGTGTCCTCAGTGCTTAACAAGTATCTGGCACAAAGTAAACCCTCAGTGAATATTGATTGGCAAATGAATAAATGAATAAATGATTAGGCCCCTAATACTGAAGCCTTTTTAGAGGCCCATAAACTGGCACATTGATCACAGAGTTTGGAATAAATGTTTTTGTTCTCTAGTTAGCTTTCACAGTTAGCTTTAAGCCAGTGCTTCCACACAGAAAATAATGATATGTGTAGAGAGCTCAGATTAAACAGACAAGGCTGCCCAGGAGTTCTTATGCTCTGCTTCCTTTGCAGATGTCCTGGGAGCATCAGGAATCAGTGTTTTAGTTCCCTGCAACCCACTGACAGCCCCTGTGCTGCCATGAAGGGTGTCTCAGAATCATCTGGCTTTTGTTTGTCTCCCCACCCCCAGTGTACACTCACAGCGTTCTCTTCTCCGTCCTTGTACCCACTCACCC